GTAACAAGTGCATTACTAGTAGTAACAAGAAGCTACTAGGAACAAGATCGAAGTTGCCTGGGATTCCTTGCCGCAACTTGCTGTTTGTGTTGCCGCCCGTCCATCTTGAAAACTGAGTGAAGTAGTGTAGCTCTCACACATGTTTATGTTCATCAGCTATGATATGTGTGTGTTATAATCCTAAGGCATCACTACTAGGGTAGAGGCCATCGCTATTAGGTTGGAGGCCATCGCTATTAGAAACAAAGAGAAAAGAAAAGGATGAAAGGTGTACAGTAATTTTAGTTTGTGTTCAAGTTCATGTTCATCAGCTACTGTATGTCACGAGTGGCTCGCTAGGCTAGCGTCGCTGGGTGTCACGGTTGGAAGCCTACTGACCTACTGGTCGTCTTGGACTTCGCCGGTAAACGTCCAGCTGCCCTAGACCCCGCTGTGTGCCAAGCAATTGCAAGGTCAGTTGCACTGCAGACTTGCTGATCTTGGACGCGGCAACAGCTTAGCATGTAACAGCATGTTATTGCATCGGGGGTGTGTCAGGCTTGCTATTAGCTTGGAGAAGAAAAAGCTGCCATGGGTGGAGGCCATCGCTATTAGGTTGGAGGCAGTTTTTAAGTTTGTATAATTGCAAGTCCACGCCTCCAGGCGTGATCGGGCTACGTGTAGGCTGTACAAAGGGATGTTTGACCTTACTTCCTTTTCCTGTTTCTTTGCTTCTAGCCATGGCCTCCAACTTCCTTTACGTAGCGCCCAGCCAACGAAAGACCAAGGATCTGATTCTTGCTGTGCCTGCTCTGTCCAAATGACACCAGGCTCGAGACCATAAAGTGGGTCGAGGTCGGGGAGATTTGCTCGGGCAGTGACTGTTGTGGCACCGTGGCAAGCCATCGGAAGGAGTCTTGCACATCGCCCAGGCCGATGCCGTACCTGACGGGTGGAAGATGGGCTCAAACAAGTTGTTCTTGGAAAAAGGACACCCTCCACACTTATAAGGCCCCGTTCAGTCCGGCAAATCTAGTCCTCAAGATTTCTCTTTCATGACAAGAGTGATCATGGGGACCATTGACCACCATCGCTCTTGTTGGTGGCGGTGTTTCCGAAGTTCCACAATCGCTCTGATTTGCGCCCCCCAAATGCCCCGGCCATGTGATGATCCAGAGAAAACTGGCAGCACCCAACTGCTCGCTTCTTGTGTCAAATGATTTTTTCCACGTCTTCAAAGGGGTGTGTACTACGTATAGAGTATTTGTTCCGACCAAACCACATGGCCACCCTCAGATGCGTTGGACTCAGAAGAACTGTTTCCGTGCCCAGGTTCTTCGTGAGCTCGGTGATGTCTGGAACCATCATGGGATATTTCGCGATGAAGCTCTCCTTAAAAACACCCGGTGGGAGACAGAAGGACAAAAACCAACACCAAAACCAAACGAATTACCGAGTTGAATGGTGAACCAGGGTGAAACCTTCGTGATTTGTCAACAAAACACATCCTTTTGCATCGCCACGATACTGGTTTACAGCAGCGTGACTGACGTATATCAAGGTCTGTCCAAAACATCACATTCTGCCGGGTTCTTTGTCCTGTGTGCACAGTTCCCGTGTGGTGTCTCGTTGCGGGGTCAAGATCCATTTCGGAGTATGTCCTTCGCCAACTCCTAGTCCCTGGAGCAGCCGATTTGTAGCACTGATTTCAGAACTTGTCAGTACCGCAAATTGCACAAAAAGCCCCCATCTCCACAGAACGGCCCTCCAAACCTGCCCCGAACATATTCGCAGCAAACAGTTGGAGGCCCACGCAATGACTAACTCCCCACATGCTGAAGGCACTCAACTAAAAGTTTTCAATTTTTCTTCAATCTCTTTGGTACAATTTAGTTTCATGCAACTATTTCATGATGAACTGGCCATTCAAACGTGAGGCGTGTAAAGCACACCAAAACCACAAACACCAACACCCACCCGCTCAAACTCATTGCGCTGTCTGCCGAGCTCGTTTTCACCCCGCGGCTTCCTTTCCCAGCGTCGTCCGGAAGAAGGAAGCGTGGCCATGTGAGCAGCATGGTGTTGACTCCGTTGGCTCTGGCAGTGACCATTTCTCCCACACACCACTGGCGCGTGAGGATGTCGGGGCTGCACAGCACCAAGAAGTTTTGCGTATCCTGCGGCTCAGATAGCTGAAGCTCAATTCCCAGGGCTTTCTGCACTGAAGAGCTTCCCAGCACTAAACCAACAAAAACTTCCCAGCTCCCTCCTCCCTCAAGAGAAAGGCCTGCGCGGGATTTCTTCCATCAACAGTTGTTGCGGTTGTTGGGTGTTCATCCCATCAAGCGGCATAAAATATTCTCATCGCATTTCGGGTGATCTATTCCCAGAATGGCAGTCGTGAGATGGTCCGGGGCGTACACCTCGCTTCCTCCAAGTTCATTCAACCTCTATCATTCAGAGCATCCTCCCAAGCTTATTCACAAATGGACTTCGACCGGCGCCGGCAGCCGTACCTCAACTTCACCCCAGACCAGCCTGACCATCACCACCAGCATCGGTGACCGACCAAACCTCCCACAAACCAGGCCCCCCGTGGTTGCAGGTAGCCTGCCCCACATAGCTGAACAGCCGTGTGAGGTCGGTCAGATCGTCAGAGTCGATGAACGTCTTGGTCCCAGGCCTTGCGACGACGCGTGGCACGACCGCGTGGTGTGCGGCCGTACCAGGGTGGAACCTGGAGATTTCGGTCGCTTGGCGCTTAGCCGCCTTAGCCTCTGCCCGTTGGGCGTTTGCAGTGCTGTAAGCAAATGCAGATCGCAACCACCTCCAACCTTATGAAAATAACACAGCCGGGAGACGGGGATGCAATCAAGTAGGGCAGCCCTTGAACAATATACATGAGTTTGTACGGATACCTATATATACCTATACACGACTGTCTCAACTCCAGTGCACATGACGCCATCCACCAAACGTCTTTCTTGCTCAGGCCGCGCAACTAAACAGCCGAGGGTTTACATGCCCATTTGTCTATAGTGCCTATGCATGGATTTGTTTGATCAAGCCGGATCAGGTCACAACAGGTCTGAACCACGATATTGCACTGCAAAACCTAAACTTGAACATCCACGATATGGAAACAACAAAATTCACAAAATGGCTGTGCCAAGAAGCAAACGCTTCTCTATCTCCATCTTCAAGAGCCTCAGGAGGCCATCGGCAACTCTGCCATGCAACCCCCCCCGAACACTGGTAGCGTCCTTGCTCCGTTCGTAGCGATGCCCTTTGTTCCTAGTAGCTTCTTGTTACTACTAGCGTCCTTGTTACTACTAGTAATGCACTTGTTACTAGTAGCGATGCACTTGTTTCTACTAGCTTCTTGTTCCTAGTAGCTTCTTGCTCCAAGTAGTCAGGCCAGGAGCCCCGTTCGTAGCGTCCTTGCCCGTTGGGCTCCGGTCTTCATGTTTCAAGCCGGTTCGACTCAACCGGATCAATACAAACGGAGCCAAGCCTGCGGTGTTGGACGGCCAAAAGACCAGAGGCTCCGACTCTTGAAACGACAAAGGAACCTTGCCATTGAACCTGCAGCATTCTTCTGGTGACACAGGAAGTACCGGAACCTCAAGTCGACTGGCTTGAATGTGGGACGCGGTCCGTCTTGGGCAAAAGTTGCTCTTGGGCAAAGCTGCACCCAAGGTTGAAAGGTTTGGAGAAAGGGAAACCTACAATACACTCTTAATTACCATGCGCATGACAAGCATATTGAGCACCATTTTCAACCACCAAGTCGATGGTACGCAAATCGCTGCAATAACCTGTTGGTGGGTCTGAGTCATGGTCCTGTGCCAGCACATCTGAGAGATGATAACACCCTCAAAAACAACGTGCGAGCTATGCTCTTGTCCTTCTTGATGTGTATTCGTTGAAATGCCTTGTGTCTTGGTTTTGATGCGATGCTCAGATCCCATGGTAAAGGGGCTGCAGAATCAACCCACATGAAGAAACGTGCAGGGATTCTGTTGCGATCAACAGGTGAAACCTGGACGAAGACACCATGTTATGACACCCTAAAACAATCCATAACAGTATTTTATCCCAAGGTTACGACATGTTATGACCTTTAACTTCTCTGTAGCCTGAGGTATCGTCCATTTTTTGTGCCTTTCGATGACTAACCCTTCAAGCCAAGCAGCTGCTTGCGGTATTTCTGTTGAAGGTGCTTGTAGGCGCCGTGGCAAATAGTTCCCAAGATGCAGAAGCCCATAAGCACCAAGAAAAGCACCGCCTCTTAGCACAAGTTGCCCAGAACTGCATCATATGTCTAAGATTGTCTAAGTGTGGCCACATACATGCTTGGCCACTTGGCTGCTTAGCCTCGGGCAGTCCTTCACCATCTACTAAACCAAACTTATGAGCTGCACGCAGCTGCTGTCAGCCCCAGCTGCAACATTCATTGTGCCTTTCAAAGGACTTCCAACACAACTTATAGCCGAAACGAATGCATCAAATTGTTCCTTAGGCCTTCGAAATCCGGCAATCTAACAAGTCACCGAACACGTTCCATTCCTTCCAGTCAACGATCCGCTGATCTGCAGCTGAAGAACAACCGTGCTTGTCTCTTCTGGAACTGACTCTTGCACCGCGACAGAGCCTACAGCGCAAAGCGAGTCCATGTCGCATGTGTGCACCAAGGACCAGTCGCACGCACGGAGGTCCGTCGCATGCGCCGATGGGCACTTTTCGAGACTCTACATCCCTAGCTGCTTCTTGTTACTACTAGTAAGTAGTAAGGCACTTGTTACTACTAGTAAATACTAGTAAGGCACTTGTTTCTACTAGCTTCTTGTTACTACTAGTAA